CTGCACTAGTGAGTACTACGACTATCCGCAGTACTATCCTGATAATTAGACCAATTCGTAAATTACAAGGAAAAAATGTGGTTCGGATTCCACTATAAACTGTAGGTCCCTTAGTTGCCATTAGCTGTATGGGCTATTAATTAACAGCTGTGTCTAAGGAATGTCGGCCTTAGTCACTAACTAGACTACAAGATCGCGCCACTCATCCTACACTCATCCTTCACTCATATTTGGGTTAAAATACGCACATAGTGGCGTCCCCATCTTAAATAATTGAATTGAATTAATTGAATTGAATTGAACAAGCATGGTTGGGTCAACGTTGGGAATTGGTTGGCATGGTTGGCAGATGGTGGGTGGGTGTGTGACAGGGTTGGGAATGGCAGGTAAAACCCCTACTTGTTTTACTTTGACATAATCTTTATTACAAAGTGCATTGAAAGCACTCCATGAGGGAATTAACTGTTCTGAGGGTGAACTCTCTGGAGCTAAAATAGGAGTATTAGTAATTCGACAAAATTGCCACAACATATCCATACGTTCATACGACTTCTTTTTACATTCGTCCATTGCAAATAGTTGTTGGTCAACCTCATAGTCAGATGGAATATTTGGTTGATTGGCAGCCGGCAGGCCTTATATAAGGCTGAAGTTTCTGGCACTAAGAAGTCCGTGGATCGGCTTTTTCCCTTTTGCAACACTTGTTTCTGAAATTTTTGGCTTAAGTGGTACTTCAGAGGGTTTTTCTTGAAACAGAACGCATACAGTGTCGTGAGAGCTGTTCGTACCAGACAAGGTACATTCATCATGATCAAAATTGTCGAAAGCAACGATGGTGTACAGCTCAGGTTTGAAATGACTGGGCATGAGAACGTCCTCGCTACTTTGATGGATGACATACTGCGCAAGATCATGATGGTGTCGAATCACTTCATTATAACTTTCACTTAAACCTAAACGGTTGAAACTTGTTATTAAAGTTTTACTTTTGCACTTTTCATGGATTGCTTCTCCAGTCATGATATGCAGTGGCGTCTTCTTTCTTCCACGATGAACGTTATAATACGTGATTTGGGTTATCGTTTTTGCTTTTAGATTCCAGTTATATAAATGTTTGTTAGCTTTGTCTTGTTCTTTATGTTTGTCTGCTTCTTTACCTAAAAGTGTGGGGTCGACATCAAATAGCGTATTAAAAAAGTTCACTAAAACATCAGGTAACTCACTCTTATCAAATGCACATTTTAAATCCTGAGAGTCACAAAATCTATCATCAAGCCCAAAATTCATGTTCTCAAGAGCATTTCGTAGAGTAATAGCACATTCTTTAACTGGATTGGTCTTTTTAACAACGTCAGCTAGTTCATTATTTGTGATAGACGATAAAAAAATGAGTTCTGGTTTGTTCGCCTCCTTAGATTTATAAAAAGTGATATCCTCTCCAAAATAATCGTATAACATCAATTTGACCTCTCTGTTATTAATCTTTATATGTTCATTGCCCGATACTATTAGGTCTCTTATGTAACTTAAAGTATATCCGTTTCCGTGTGTGAGGCCAGCCTTTATTTTAGGAGCAAGTGTTTTGAAAAGCTTGATCTTTTCGGGTACCTGTCGCTCCCTATAATTTTTACATTCATGCTCACGTTTGTATTTCAATAAATAAAATGACATACAATTCGGATGATACATAAGGTTGGCGCCTAAAACCCTTGGAGCATCTTGTAGCTCGGAAGTGCAGATGAATACCAGATGAATACGTCGTCTTGGAAATATAAGGTTGCTTTCAAAAATTCATCAGCTCTGTCAAATTCACTAATTGTGTATTTTTCATAGTTTTTGCAATGTGATTTGTTGTTACATATTATGCACAACCGGTCTCGTTTACAGTCACTACCACCAGCACTTGTTGACCTTGAGCGTTTATAACGTTTATCTCCATTATATGTTTATCTCCATTATTAAGAGACATGTCATTTTCAGTTTCATTTTGTGCAGACTTTACCTCTATCCTGTTAAGTAAAGTCTTATTACAATACTGCTTGTAGCAGGTATTACTTACGTGGTAGTAAAATATGCAATCATCAATAGTATCTAAGCGGGTTTTCACTATAAAGACGAATACCTGCTGCCTCTCTAATTTTTCTCCTCCCATTTTCACACGTAACTAACTCCAATGATTCATTTTTCTTATTGCATATTATGAACACTTCTTTATAATTAATTGTTTCCGGTAATATTTCCGAACATCGCCTTGATAAATGAAACATGTCTACAGTAACTCATTTCGCAGGGCAATTACCAAAACAGATATCTTCACTAAGAACGCACTCACAGGAACACGCACGTGCGAAAGGACAGTCAATATTTACCTCGAAGGCAACAATTAACTTTGGATTGTATCACAGCTGACTGATATAAATATCAGGGTTGCCAACATATTTTATAATTTGTTGCATTCCTTCGTTGACTTAGACTGTAACCTGCGCTGATTTAGGCTATTATCTCATTACTCAAATACTAAACGCAAATATGTAAGTCTCGTAAGTCGGCATATGTAAGTCGGATGTACCTTCAGATATCATCCGATCAATCTCTTGTCCAACAGAAGTACGTAAAGCATACGGAACAGGTCTATATTTACAAAACTTAGGGATAGAGTTTTCTTTTAAGACTATCCTAGCCTCAACATCTTTGATCTCCCCCGGACCACCTCTAAATACAGAGACATATTTTTGTTTTAATGCCTTAACCTCATTAGGTTCTATAGAAACCTTTCCGGTTAGGTTAGGTGTAACCCCATCTTTAGCTGCCTCATTAGGCTTGGGTTCAGGACTACCAGTAGCGGTTGCGCTAGCAAAATTACATGAGAAAATTGATTTCCAATCTAAATCAATGTGCTTAATCCAGTTCCTTCCTAAGAGCATTGGTTGGTTTGTACGATTTATTTTAACCACAATCATAGGCAAACAATAAGAATGGTCCTTGTAGTCAAAATTGACTTGAGCTTGCCCAGTTACTATGACGTCGTTGCCAGAATAGGTTAACAACTTAATATCTACAGATTTCAATGGAACGTGAGAAAAATATTTCGCAAATATTTCCTGAGGACACACTGACAGTGCCGAACCAGTGTCAATTTCCATAACTACAGGCACATTCTCTATAGCTAGCCTTACCTTGTAATCAGAGTTACTTGAGCATGAGCCAATATTATATAGAGACAAATTCTCCACTTCCTCATTTATATCTAGGCTAGGCTTCCCTTTATCTTCCAGTTGATGCACCTTATACCTTCCTTTTAGCTGGCTTTTTGCGGCAGTTTCGCCTTTAGATTTGCACGCCTTGCTAAGATGGCATACTCTTTTACACAAATTACACCTATAATTACTTTAAGGACACATATGAGCCTTATGATCCCAACTTGTGCAACGATAACACTTTATCTTGCTATCATTATTTTTCTCTTCAAAAGATTTTAACTTGTACCCAGCAGGATTCCCACTTTTCACAGGACCACGTGCACACTTTTTCACACTAAATTTGGAAATATCTTCCACAGGATGATTCCCGAATAAGCCTGTTTGCCTTTCAGCCTGTTCTAGCATGAGCGCTTGAGCAAAAGTTTTGCTCAAATCTAATTCTTCGGAAAGCAACTTTTGCCTTATTCCATCATTACTAATGCCTGATATTAGTTTGTCCCTCAAAGCATCATTTAAGAATGTACCGAAATTACAAGTACTGGCTAAATGTTTGATAGCGACCATAAATTCCGCTATTGACTCTGCCGGCTTTTGACAACGACTATAAAACGTATATCGTTCCGCAACAACGAGCCTTTTAGGAGCAAAATGTTCTTCCAATGTTTTACTTAGGCTTTCGTATGTTTCATCGTCAATCTTCTTGGGGGATATTAAGTCCACCGCAAAAATCTTAGGCCCAATCACTGTGATCAAGATGGAGACATGATTCGTCGACTTGACATCATTGGCCTTGAAGTAATGCTTGAGTCGTAATAAATACGAACTGATGTCCTCTTCGTGGGGATTAAATTCCGAGACTCTACCGATACTCGACATTTCGCACTTTTGCGGTTTTAAAGAACGCACTTTACAAAACTTTCACTAGTTTTACTGCGACAAAACCAATATTTAACCCGGCGACTATGCCATTATTACAACTACACGTATCGTATTACGTCCACTAACCTGTTGCTCATTTACTAGACTGCTTGTCTCCGACGTCGGGCTGTGACGTCAGCTGTTGTCGTCATCGGGGGTCAGTGTAGCCAATTCATAAACTTAAATTCCTCTTGCTACTTTACTTAATATAATATACTACAGGTGGTATTTGATTTTATCAGCGGTTAAGAAGTTATAAGCAAAATAATAAATATAGTAATAATAAATACCACGTTTTTTAATATAGTGAGATAAATATTAAGTTAAAAACAAAAGTGTAAATACAAAAAAGATAGTTTGTAAAAATATCTTTAAAACAAAAAAGAATCATCCCGATCCGTTAAACGGTTTGCGAAATATACGCATTCAAAAATTGCCGAGCCGCCATCTTGATGACGTCATAGCTCGAAAACGTACCAGGTGCGAACTTGACACCCGAGTGGAAAACACTTCCTAAGACACCTATATTGAAATGCAAAAAGCAAAATTCTCTATACACGACATGCACACAGAACCCTAGTCAGGTCCAGGACTAGAAGAGGAAGCTACGGAGATGGCTGCTAGACAAAGCTTTCTACACCCTAAAGGAGTTCTTTGCATGGCAAGACCACACACAACACTGAAGAAGCTTTTCCATTTCACTTTGTATCTATTATACCAATGTTATTCATTTAAATTTGATGCTGTAACATTTCTTGATGAAATCGTAATAAAGGATACTGTCTATTGTCAATTCCAAGGCCATTCTTCTAAACACTTAAGACAATAAGAGTACACTAAAATAAATCAGAGTTGGGAGATACAAAAGAACATTTTACTTACTTGAGTACGTTTCTGAAGGTGTCAGGGTACATGTCTTTTAAGGCAACATCATTCTTCTCTTTCAGGCCACTATCCTCCAGTTCTAACCTGAACACTGGACTGTGAGCCATTAACATTAGCTTCACTGCTCCAATCCTCTCCTGCAATCAAACTATACTGTAACATGTGTTTAACACTTTTTCTGCCAGTCCATTCATCTGACAATTTGTAGCTTCATCTGAGGAATAGCATATAAATCCATTTTACTTATTAAATTATAGGGATGGACGAGATTGGATTTTTAGTTAGAGACGAGACGAGACGAGATTTTTTATTTCTCATAAAATTTCGAGACGAGATCGAGACGAGATTTCTCTTCTCATACACAACTGGAAATGCACGTTCGAAATTTTTACCTGATTTTGTAACATTGTTAGATGACTGTTTAAATACTAAAATAATGATAATAGGCAAGAATATTTACAATCTTTCATTAAATAACATCAGCATAACATTTTTTTATTAATCACGCCTAACTTATTAAAAATGCCTACGATTATGAAACATGGTGATATCAGTTAGGATAGAGTTCAACTTATCCTAAAATAAAATAAATCATAAAATAAAAGCAATATTAATTTTTATAAAATAGTTACTTGTTTTGACTTTTTTTATAGTAATAAAACGTTCCTCACACTGCTTACACTTAACAAAACTTCTCAAATGTTATTAAAGTAATATTATTAAAATAATGAAAGTAATATTTACATTAAAAGAATCAAAGTAATATTTACATTAAAAGAATTAATTAAATAAGAACGCCTTCGAAAAGGAAACGCAACTACAACACGCTCCTGTATTGCGGGTATTGCATTGACTTTCTACAGGCGTTTTTAATTTTTTTTTTTTTTTTTTTATTCTCGTCTCGATAAAAATCTCGGCCAAAAAGTAATCTCGTCTCGTGTAACGAGATTGAAAATTTCCCGAAATTTCAAGACTTGACCATCCCTATTAAATTACTTCAATTTACTTTTATTCAACAAGTCTAATCTAAGTTATTGAAAATGTTGTCCTTGTAGTTAAATATACTTGTATATTACAGCTTGAGGGGTTTTCAGAATTATTCCAGATTTTTAACTAGGCTATGAATAAATTATGTAGGTTTAGTTGAATCTTTGGTGTTGTTGCCTATTTTACCATTATTCTTGTCTCCATATTCAAATTTGACTATTCAGCTTCACTGGACCAAATACAATAGAACACAAAATTAATCACAATAAAATACATAGTTAAACATAAATAGAATGACATAAAGGCTAAACAATTGATTAGTGTGTCTAGGTGAAATCTATATATATATATAAGGCAAAGCCCTCACTGACTGACTGACTGACTGACTGACTGACTGACTGACTGACTGAATGACTGACTCACTCACTCATCACTAATTCTCCCACTTCCCATTTACCTAGGAGGCTGAAATTTGGTACACTGATTCTTTAGGCATTAAATAGGAAAACTAAGTTGTTTTTATTCTGATCGGACTCTCGGGCTCCGCCCCAGTGGCTCTGGAGTTTCCCATGTTAACCTTATGAGTACCCCAAAGGTGAGTGAGCGTAGCGAACGAACTTCAACCAGGTTGTGATTGAACCATGTGAACGAGCTCACTTATGAAGTAAAACGGGACAAAGCCCGCGGGTACAGCTAGTTTTTATATAAAGTACATTTTATGTACAGTAGAGTCTCGCTATTCCAAATCCTGATGTTTCTTTACACTATATACACAAAACATAAGAATATTTCACTGTCACTGACAGCATTTCCAACTAAAGAAGAGAGAGTTTTCTACATATAAAAAACACTCTCTTCCTGTTACTGAAAACACAAAACATAAGAATATTTTGCTGTCAGTGACAGTGAAATATTCTTATGTTTTCGGTATATAGTGTAAAGTTTTGTGTTTCCTGTGCCAGTTTGGACTCTTTCCCATTCAGGTAAGCCTGCTATACTCTCAAAAAATCCTATTCAGAATTTAAGTTTGGAAGGAGCTAGCAATGTTGCCGCAAACTATGCCAAATCTAGCGAGGTCACCAAAATTAGCGGTAATGATGCACTGTGGTGATTTTAGCAACGAAGTCGAGACCTTTGAAGATTCTATAGCTATAATTTGCCAAACGCCAGCAAGGCTGTTTATGTTGCCGCAAAAGATGGCAATGTAGCCTGAAATTACCTAGAATCAAGTGAAGCGATTGCAAATGTTAATAAAACAAGTAATATACGATGGAATTTGCAATGTTGTTGGTGGAAAATCTACAATACCACCTACAACAAATGTTGACAAAGGTAATATAGTAATGGACATAAACTTTGGCAAAATAGCTCTCTGTGAATAACGTTTATTATACAATAAAATGTTTCAGCAACATTGTTATTGTCTCCTGTGATTGTGGCAATGTTTGTATCACGTCCCGCGTACATTGTAACATCATCATCTCTTGTGATCACAGCCACATTGCGATGGAAGCTATGACAAGCGTCATCCGTGATTACGACCAATTATTAACAAAGTCTGCTCATTCAAAATTCCTGTAAATCTGATCAACGTTCGGTCCCAGTTGAGTTAGTTTGGAAAAGCGGGACTCAATTTCAGTTGAAGCATGGATTAAGCAACACAAGTAGACTTCCCTTCCCATTGTAAATTTTGAAGCTTATTTTTCATGTCTAGTTCATGTACGTCGACACTGATTGCAAGTGTGGACAACATTTTGTTTCTATTATTTTAGGGCTATATTCACGATTTGTGCTTTACTGTTTGGTTATAACTAGGAGACCAGTTATTGTTAATGATTAGATCGTTTTAATTAGTTAAACAATCTATTATATTATTAAAGTGATACAATCAAATTTTATGTAAACGGTTCCATTTATCAAGTAAAAATATAGGCATATGACACATCAAAATGAGGCTCAGAGTGTGTAGATTTGCCGAAAAGTATTGATGTGGACGAACTCCCTAAGGGCTCTGCCCCACAGGCTGATTTCCAAAGGGCTACGCCTTACATGTTTTGGAAGTTAAAGTTATTCGATTAATTTAGTGAACAGCAGCTGGCCAATGCAATTGACAATATAGTTTGTTTGTTTACATTTTTGTTTACTTATTTTATTTTTTAGTTTTGTGTTCTTAAAACAGGTTCGGTGAGTGGACCGTGAAGCTATTTCTAGCTGTTTGATACAAGTGGGTGATTAAGGCTAAACATCCCAGGTTTAGTTCCAAATTCTGCCACCACGTCGCAGCACCAAAATGGAGTCATTTTGTGTTGGTGTTTATTGGTTTAATTTTCATCCGATTTTCATTTTGAAAACTGATTTGTAAACGGGATAAGATAACAATTCACGCCATTGAAGATAAATTTGAATTAAGTTGCTGGTTAAAAAAAATTATAGTAAAATAATTGTGTTACAAAATGAAAAATGAAAATTGCAGGTAGTCATTTTAAAGACAATAATTTTTAATTAATTTTAATTTTTAAATTTTTAAAATCGCTTGGCTAGTTTAGTCGGTATCGTTGTTTAAACATTTACAGTAATTATAACAAACGCAAGAGAGACATGAAGCAGGAAGGACAGGGCCGCTGTGACTCATTCCAAGGTCACACTCACATTTGCTACCCCTCCCCCACAACAAGGCTGGGGTGTTGCTTGTACACCGGTGGATAACGGTTTCCTGCGCTTCCATACACGAAATACAGAATTGAATTAGGGGTTTTGCTACGCTTTAACCAAAGTAAATTGCAAACAAAATAATTATTTAAAAAATTTGATTGTGTAATCAAATTTTTAATTTTATGATAATCGTATTTAGGCCTAATCAAACTGTAAAATTGGTGTAAATACGTTGGCAAATATATAAATCTATATAAATAAAATTACAGTTTTGTCTGTACATTGCTTAGAATCATGCAGTTGTTGGTTATTTTTACGTTTCATAGCCTAAGAAAGCCGAAACGAGTCTTATCTCAATTTCTGTCTGTCTGTCTATTCTGCCATTCCGTATGTGACGCCAAAATGTCATTTTACGCGGCCTACTCCTAGAAAACTAGAGTTCCGATCAAGGTTCTAATAATTTTTTCGTATTTACTGGATTGGTGAGAGTGTCTTTGGCTATAAAAACATGACCTCGCTTCTTTGAAAACAAAGTAACGAACCATCAAAAACCCAATTTGGTTAGAATTTTGTCAAATTTTCTCCCAATGTTTACTACTGTATTACATTTTATGAAATAACGATCAGCTGTTTGGATTAGTTCTCACTTCTAGCTGTCACTGATATGTTTTAAAGTTGCTTACAAATAATACTATTAATGGAAAATAACTATGATTTTCGAAAACTTAAACAATGTAAAACCAAGGGAGATTAATAACTTCTGAACTGCACAACATCAAGTGAAGGTTTTTTTGAGAAAACCATATAGTGAGTTTTTAAAGCTTTACGTTGTTAACGATACATGTTACATAATTTGTGGCCTGTGTATTTATTTATTTTTATATTTTCCAACGGATTAACACCTATAATACACTTTAATTAGAAGGACAGTTTGAATTGGCCGTAAGTACTATAGTTCTTTTCGTAAATGTAAACGTTGGTTTTTGGTACTGCTACTTTTCCTTAGAACCGTTGGTAGTAGTAAGAAACATTTTTACGTACAAACACATCACTATTTACAACTATAGTTATCGTTAATGCTGCACCTTATTTCTTATTAAATTAAATTAATGTCTTACTGTATAATGTTTGCGTTTTCTGTCTGGACTCCATAATGTTAGTTTATGCTATGAAAATGAAAAACCATTAGTGAAAGATTTTTTTTAGTAAACCATCATGAATTTTTAAAGCTTGGCGTTGTTAACGTATAAATGTTTTGTGGACTGTGCATTTAATTACTTATTTATATATTTGCCAACGGATTTAGACAAATTTTAGAGTTTGATTAGGCCTAAAAACGATTATGATAAAATTTGATGACACTATCAACAAATTTAAAATAATTAATTTGTTGTAATTTGCTTTGGTCAAAGAGTAGCAAATCCCCTCATTCAATTATGTATTTTTGTTTGTATGTCTGTTGGTAACGAATTATTGTCCTTATTTCTCAGTGTTGCGTGGAAAAGACAAGAGTACCTTTGAACATTTCAACCCGAATAAAGTGCGCAATAGTGAGGTTGAGGGTTGAGGTAGTATTTTAACTACTTTTAACCTGTTTGAAAAGTAACTTTAAATTGTAGGCCTACCTTTAGGGCTATGCCTCATAGATCTATAAAGCAATTCCTTGTATCATTATGGACTAACACGATCGGGTGACATTTAATTGCAAAGCATTCGTTTTGGCTTTGAAACTGTCAGATATTGTATTTGCGAAGGTTTGAAACCTGTTCAAACCTGCTGCAGGCTGGTATTCCTATATAGTAATAGTTTTGCTAGCGTATCTGGAAAAATGCACGCTAAATAAGCAAACCAACTCCTGTTCTGAATATAAGGTTTCAACTTACTACAAGATTCTCGTAGGCCCTACGTAGAACGGGCAAACAGCTAGTAAGTTTGCTATTTAGCTAACACAGCTCGCTATTTTAGTCATCGGAATGAGCATTCTCAGTTAAAGAAATAACATTTATGATTACTGTAAAATTAATTGCCTGACACAAGTATTCAATTTTTATATATTACTGATTAAATAATCCGAAAATTAAAACTAACCCTTAAACCTGCAATTTATTAATAACTTCTTAAAAATAGTGATATGTGGATGTAACACAAACATCACCACTGTCTTTCGTGGTCGTGTGACAAAATTCTGATATTTTTCAGAGGTAAAGGAAACATTATAATCCTCTTCCGCGGTCACGAAAACGTCATCGTCGTCTCCCGTGTTCACGGAAACGTCATCGTCTTCTTCCGCGGTCACGAAAACCATCTTCATGCGCAATAGTGGCAAATTGTAAATTCCCGGTAAAATACGAAATTTACGCATAATTCCCGGTTTTCCCGGTCGGTGGACACCCTAAAGACAGGCAAACGGACAGACAAACAGACAGACAGAAATTGAGATAAGACTCGTTTTGGATTTCTTAGGCTATGAAACGTAAAAATAACCAAAAACTCCATGATTCTAAGCAATGTACAGATAAAACTGTAATTTTATTTAAATAGATGTCTCTTTCCGACTTACAGAAAATACTTGTTTTTAAATCATAAACTAGTATCTGTCGAAATCAGTAGTCCAGTCTAGTAAGTGTGTCCGGTCAGAGTATGAATGCGAGGTGTGTGTGAGATGACGAAGCTACAGTCGCGTTGTAGGGCCGGGCAGAGGGGCAGAGCGGCTGGCACTGGCGGCTGCGCTACGCGGGGGGGGGGGGGGACCGGAGCGCGAGAGAAATAATGATAATTTCTTTAAAAAACTATTCCGATTCGACCATTTGGCCGAATTAATATCTGAAAACGGCAAAATTCTTTTAAGATTTCTCTTTACAAAATGACTACCTGCGATTTAAAAAAATAGTTACAGCAATAAAAATTAGTTATAAAACTTTTTTGTAAATAATTTTTAAAAAACATTAGCAAAATAGCGTGAATGTCTTATTCATATCATTTACAAAACAGTTTACAAAACAAAAATCTGATAATAAATACGGAAATTATAAGTGGTACAAATTTGCCGCAGAGGTGCTGCTATCTATCGGGCCAGAAACACAACTTTTTCAGGGATGTTTAGCCTTAAAGATGATCGAAATACGATGAATATAAGATTAACAAACCATGTAGGCTATGTTGTTCGAACCAAGAGTTTGTCACCGATCTTTAACAGGTTGCCATTTCATTGAAAAGTATTAAAGTATTACAGACGTCGTGGAGGAGAGCGGTCAGTTCAGGTACAACCGTACCCACCTCGGCCACCTCAGGACGTAAGGTATGAAGGTTCCACTGCTTTTAACATCCTTTAAGACGAAAATTTCTCGAGCTTGGCCCTTTAAGTGAAATATAAAGTCGAAGTTGATTAAATTAATTTAATGGTGGCTTCTGTACACCCGTGAATTTGCGGGTAGAACCTCTTGTTTTTTAAATGACTGAAATAACAAGAAACAAATTTGTAACAAAACATGACCTCTACAGTGTGACGTACAGAACTAACAATAAAATTGGCTTCAGCTGTTTCATAAGGATGATAAATCTACAAAGGGAGTACCGGTATGTTTTATCTATGGTTATTTTATCTAGACCTCACGCCTTCTCAATTTTAATGTTCCTAGCTTAACACAAGTATTTTATAGGTACTTACAGGTTTGACCAAACTCTTTTCTCCAACAATGAAAAAACAATCAAACTTTGGTTTATCCGAGAATAGAAACTGGATGAATTCTGGTGGCTCAGGTGAATTTTGTTCAGCCATTCTGTAAATAAAGAAGAAATCAAACACAGTCCATGAAACAAAAAGATAAAAATACAATGAGGCTTGTCTCGTTTCTAGGACACTCCAAGTGGTCCCATGAAACTCCATTTCAAATGCAGCCAACCACTGATAATGATTGGCTTTTAGCAAATTTCCCATAGCCTATGGGGAATTTCCCATAGCCTATGGGGAATAAGCTATTACCGTAGGTCTCATAGTAAGACCTAGACCCGGGACCGTTTTGCTTTTTCGTTTTGAGGTCCCCAGAGGCCAAAAACACCCTCCGGTCAAATTCAATGAGCAGAGCGAAGCGAAGCTTTTTGGGATCAACTTTAATGCAAATTTTATTTATTTATTTAGATGACAATACTACATTACAGGCATAGAGCCCAATTACAATGCAGCATTACAGTTCATTTTAAACAGTCCATGCAGTCTTCTTGGTAGGTACACACATCACAATTTATATTATATTTAACTACTAAGACAAGATAACAAACAACCAATAAATAATAATAAATAACATTTCATAAAAAACAATAAATAGACATATTAATAAATAAAGTAAGTTTATAACACATAATCTCAATAACGGCTGAACATATTTTAGCCAAACTTACCAAGGTTGTTTTGTCAAATGTTTGGATGGTTTAGACGAGCAATTTCGATTTTGATAATGCCTATATGAAATTTAAGAGTAACTCAAAGTTTTTAAATTTTAACATTAGCCTTATGGGTTGCCATGATGGTTAAAAAATAACGACGCAAACGTAAATAAAACAATCATAGCATGTGTTTAAATCAAGCCACAACCTAAACACAGTACAAAGGAAAAAAATTGGATGATAACCACTGATCATATAATACAGTTAAAGTCCTAAGTTTACATTGGTGTGGCCAATTTGGAAACGACCAATGATCGAATAGGTACAGTCATAGATAAAACCTAATCAACGCCATATTGGTACAAGAAGCCTGCTTCACTGCAGACGGCAAGTGCCGCCTCTATATTTATTCTATGCTCAGTGATAATAGCCAAGTTAGATATTGACTTGAGAATACCAAGTTATTCACTCAGCATAGCAACGCTGGTGGCGCTGCCTACAAATTGAAGGCAAAGCTCCCTCAAAGTACTTAATGCTTTTTACAATGCGGTTGGCATTCTGGGTTATAGTAGTATGTTTTCTGTGTCCCAGGCAAACTAAACTACAAGCATATTTCAGATTGATCACGAGGCACGTGTTCATCTCTACAATGAAATACCTCAGCATTATACTTGGAATGAAAGCAACAAGTCTTGGAAAAAGCGACAGTCGGGTTCAACCAGAACTGTGGGTTCACCAGATGACATTAGCAAGCAAACACAGGAAAAATACTGATACAAAGATATGTATGTAATGTCCACATTTACTAATGAAACTTTTTATAGAAGTTGATTGTTCTGAGCGAAACTGATAAATTAAATTAATTGATGAAATGGTTATATTTTGTATTATATCTATTTAAGCAGTTTATTTATTAAAAACAATAAAACGTGATCGCTCAACTGGCTTTCACTGCTGTGAAAGCAATTCTACTATACAGGGTGTTTCAGTAAAGCGTAGCGGGCTATGCAGATACAGATTATACATGCAAAAAAAGTCAAAAATGAACCTACAAATTTTTTTCAATTTCGGCTTAGTTTAGCCGTAATCCACCATTTTGTATTTTTTGAAAATAATTTATAACGGATAACATGTAAAAGTAAACAAATTTTTTCTTTCGGCCCTCAAAAAGCCACGTTTAAACGTTACCAGTGACAAGAGAAGCTATTGAATGCTTTCAAGTGATTGACAGGGAAATTAGTGATCAATTTAGTTTCTTTATTATATCGATAGTCTTTCAACTTGGGTTTTAATGGAAACCAACACTAAACCTTAAAATAATGAGAAAGCTGGTCTATCAACCTTTGCTTCAGCTGTTGATTGTGGTTCATCATCACAAGCCCTTCCTTGGTTAGATTACGAAGATTTTTCAAAGGTTTACTAAATTAACAAATAGTAAATTACCTGATGAGATTTAAGATATGCCTAGACTACATGATAATTGTAACGAAAAAATCTCCATATAACATGAAACTTACATTGGAAAAATAGCAGTTTGCTCCTGCTAACAGCTCTTGTATAGGACTATTCCTAGGCTATGCTATGGTTGAAGACGAATACCAAGTTCAATTAAATTATTAGGAATATATCTGTTTAGTCCTTGCAAGAACAAGCCTACTATAGCCAACTTGTTACATAGCCAAGTAGGCCTACATGTTATTTTTACTTTACAAATTTCAACATGTTTAAAATAAAAGCCGATTTCAGGATAAGTTGCTGAATAGGCCTAGGCCTACTGTTTTCTGTACCAACTAGGTTGAAGCACAATTTGCCCTATGCCTAATGACAATAAAGGACCGACGATTTTTTGACATTGAAAAGTGTTATTCATAGAACTTATCACTATGGTTAAAAGTTATAGCAATATCGTTTTTAACATTAAAAGTAACTTAAAGAAAGGCAATAAACTCCAATTTGAGCAGGCTCTGTAACACAAAAAAGTATTTTTAAATAATCGTTTCACAGTTTTATTGGTCTTACCTAATTGTTGATATAAGACATCTATAAATGAATCTATATTAAAGAAATAAAATGAGCTTTTAAAATATAGTTTGGTTGTATGTCCTTTGAACTTAATGAAATTTACATATAAGATTCATTAAAAATAATGCAATAATTAAAAATAAGTTAAGTACTAAATATGATGGGACACCCAACTATTTGGTTCTGTTGCTGTAATGTTAGGTTTATAATAATGTACCAAAAAATTAAATACAATCTAGGAATAATTTGTTTTCCAAGTAATGTTAGATACAATACTGACATTTTTTGTTTAAATGTTTGTTCAATAAAATGTAGTTGCAATTAATTTTACATTTACCTAATGTGCGTGGAATAATAAGTAACGTCTTTGGAAAAGTAGCTAAAATTGTAGCTGTAGCTACATTTCATTGTAGCTGTAGTTGTGGCTAGCTACTTTTTCGGAACTGTAGCTGTAGCTGTAGCTAAGCTACTTTTTTGGAAATGTAGCATTAGTTGAAGCTAGCTACGTTTTAAAAGTAGCTTCCCCAACACTGCCTATGATTATTAATTCAACTTATGTAGGCTACTTAAAGTATGTAGCATTATGCCATGTTTGTTGTGCATGATTTCTATTAACTAACAACTTATAGGCCTAGGATACCAACAAATAATTAGTCTATTCATCGTCATTAAAGAGCTTGATAATGAAGTATTGCTCTTAAACCTAGTCCACACTTGGAGAATAAGTCGACACACAGTCGGCCAATCGTCTGCTGACAGTTTTGGATAACAGTGTCCAATTTATTTTGCATCCACACTAACCAACCAGTGCTTATCGGTAACTTTAGGCCTATGGGTATGAAGACTGAAGAGGGCGTGTTTTTGTCCAGCGTGACAATAAGACATTTTATTGACCGTTAAGTAAGATAACTACAAAATACAATAGGTCTTGTCAGTTTTAAAATAGGCCTACATAAGTTAAGCTACGTAAAATAAGAAATTTACGTGTACTTCTTACTTCTTATGAGCATGTGGCTGATGCAACAGATAATAATGAACCCAAAAGTTGCTCTAGGAAGGTGTGTAGGTACTAGACCTATTGCCAAAACCTACTAGGCCTATCAGGTCTTCAATTAGAAGATGGCGCATATTTTAGAAACTTAACAGGACTCCTACAGATTTTGAGGTTTAGGCCGAAGTACCTAAGCTACTGGGCCAAAGATACGGTAACTTAAGAATTAAATATGCGCGATACAGGGCTGAAATTTCAGCCCAGAACTCCACACTGACCACCAGCACCAGCGGGTGCAGAGCTAAAACCCGTAATGTGTCTGTGTTATATCAGATCTCCTGCCTCCTACCATAGAAAACATACTACTAATAGTAGTATGTTTTCTGTGCTAACTTAGGCCCTATCTTGTCTCACGTTACCCATGTATGGGAAACAGAAAAAACTGAATTTTCTCAACAGAAATAAAATCTGCCGATCGATCATCTGGAGACATGACATGACATTGCTAAGTCTTATCGCTAGATAGTTACAAAGAAGAGGCAACACTAGGACTACGGAGACAGTTGGCCAAAAATCCGGCAAATCGCCAAGTATGGCTTTAGTCAGTTCTCAATGGTGTTTCTAATCATATGATAAGAATTGTTTTTACCTTATAGTTGAGGTTGAGCTAATTCAATAGATTTAAAAAGTTGATTTTAAGTTATTCAAAACAGTACAACCTCAGTCAGTGGTCGACTCCCGTCCCGAATGGTCGAGGCCGAGGTCACTCACTTTTAAGCCTGGTTTACACGGGTCGAGTACAGCGGGCGAGTCAGTGTGCGAGTTGCCACTCGCTCTTTAACTCGCTTGGTGTAGACATGCAGGCGAGTCGAGCAACGGGCGAGTTGATAAAAAGAGGTCAGTTGAGAGCGAGTCGAGTGATTTAGTTGAAAACCGAGTTGCTCGGCCCAGTAGCTACCCCCACCACCACAATTTGCCCGCAAAACATCTGTTTACTGCTATCAAGTGAGTCCAGCGACCACAGAATAAATTCTTTTTTTATTTTGTGGTCGCTGACAATGAGTCGATCACAACGATCAGAATTTTTGGGGTTGTGGGTTAGTTCAGTAGTGTATGCCTAATCACCCTCAATCTATCTATATATTAATAGGCAAGCATGTTTCTTTAAAACCTTTTTTCTCAGCTCGTGTGCATCGCAGGGGAAATTTACGCATATTGTTAGAAAGATATTTGCCTGTAGATGTGCAGAATCCCTTTATAAATTAAAATAGGCTAAAAAATAAGCACAAAAAACGAATTTTAAAACTTCAAAAAATTAACATGGACCAACTGGGTTGCCATGATGGTGACGAAATAACAACAGAATGTAAACAGAAAATCAAAACAAATGGAAGAAATCCCAATCACATGTTTTATTTACAGTGTGGGGAGAAAATAGAGAAGTCTGTACATTAATTATTTTTGGTCGAGTTTCGACCACAGGACGACCACTAGTACTCATTACTCAATGGTTCAGTTGAACAGTTGGCCCTGTGTTGCATTGTCCTGCTGTTCGTAAATCTACTCACTCTTATAAAATTCAGTTTTCAAAATTGTTGAACAACTTAAGATCTACAGTTCTACTGGAACGATTTTATTAATCAATGGGTTGTTAGAAAGCTCACTCCCTAAAAATGTTTTCTATCAGAAATACATTGAAAACGGTGTTTTCAAATTTTTTTATTTGGAGGCAACTTTCGGTTGCCTATATATTTTATTTTAAGAAATGCAGTACCGGTACAGTAATTTGTAACAAATCTTATTCTTTTAGAATACCACCTTCCACTTTGGTCTATCGTATTTGCAAAAAAAAACTTTTAAGCAACCCCTGAATTTAATGCATGATTCAGTTTTAATTCTAATAATCTAATTCAGTGATTAAATTAATTTATAAATTCAGCATTAAACTCTTGAAGTCCCATTTTAAATTCAAACAACATTTAACACGAAAGCTACGGTATACGGAATACCCTACACCACAGAACACAGAGAAATTATAAAAATTACTTTTCTGTGCCTACACTGTCGCTGTTCGAAATAGGAATGCGTGTAGACAGTCCAGTCAAGTACCGGACGAGTTGAACAAATCAACAACTGGGCCTAGTAACTGGGCCGAATAACTCGTCTGACATACTCGACCCGTGTAAACCAGGCTAGTGTGCTTACTGCTCTTAAGGCTTAGGGATGTTCCTTCACTTACTTAAAACTAAAAGTCAGTCACAGTCAGTTTTCGTTTTCAGTTATAGTCGTTAGTCACTCGACTTCGACTCGACTTAAACTCACCTCAACCCTTCACTCAGTGCTTCAACCACTGCCTTCAACACACAGTCAACTGAGTCAACCTAGTCCTAGTCCGCCCAATACCTTACAACGTTCAAGCCAAAGTGTTCAAGTCAAGTCAGATCAAAAGTCACTTCACTTCACACACAGTCGGGATCCCTTCAAGTAGGTAACCTTTCAAACTGGTGAAGGGACCTACCTGCCCGATATTGAAATCGGTCAGGTTGGTTACTTTTCAATTTGGTGAGGTAATGAACGCCCTCTTGCTCTTGTGGTGGGGGCATCGACTGCTCTCATTGGCTGCAAGGTTTCTGGGGGAGGGAGTAGTTGTTATGGGGTGAACAGTGCTGCCAACCCAAAAGTCTGGAGCAATAAACATTCCCATACAAGGGTAATGTGCGTAATTCCGATATTTACGGCTACAAAGTAGGCAGTATAAATGCCGAAGGAAATTATATGTATAAAATATCTAGTTAGAACTTAAGTCCATCATCTTGCGAACCTGTTTCTCTCCATGCCCCTGGGTCACTGCTAGGCTACTTTCTCTTGTAACTAAATCTACAGTATTAACGGGTCAGATTTTATTAATTAACTAGCTGTTGCCGTTGGCATCGCCCGACATACTTTTTCGTCTTTTATTCTTTACTATAAGCCTGCTGAAGTTGTCACTGACTTCGCTACGGAACGGAACTACCGAAATGGAACAACTGAATGATGTTTTTACCAAAAATACCAAAGTATTCATATCTCCTTTCATTCATTATCATACTCCAAGCCAAATTTTCCAATGGTACAGTTAGTTTTCTCTAACTTTATTGAAAAGTATTTCAGATAGTCTAAAGTAGGATTAAAAGTAACACAAAAACATTAATTTATTTAGTGATATACTGTATATATAATGTTCCCCGTTACTGTCTCGGCATGCTCTTGATTTGATATTATTCTTGAATTTTGTTGTCCCTTCTGTACATTTAATAATTACTAGAGGGCCCATGCTACTCTACAACGTTGAAATGAAAATCATATTCGAGCAATAATCAAATTTATAAATTTTTATTGAGTATCTTGATCTTAACTGATTCAAACGATAAATAGCTCAAATTAAAACCTTTAATTAACTTACTATTTTGCGTCAAAAACATGAAAAAAACATAAACAATAGTGGACCTATTGATTTTTAATCATAGAAAACCCTTATAAAAAAATAATTTATATGTTGGTTGTTCACATTGCAATTATTGCTTGTAGTCCGTCCGATTTGGATAACTAATTAATAGCTTAAATGGAAAGCCGGCATTTCACTGAAGGTTCTTAGACCAAAATATGTAGGATTATATAATTATAACTGGTGAAATGCATCTTTAATTGAAGTAAGAATTCGAAAAAGTTAAATATATGTTATTTGGACGAGTAATACAGTAGAACAATGTATGCTGATGCTTAGAGTGAAATCTGTGCACACCTTCAATTTGAGACCTCAATCATGAAAATCGGTTAAATTTATTTTTAAATATAAGAAGATTGACTCTATTAACGTTTAACGAAAACTATCACCGTATTACAACAAATTGTGTAGCAGTTCCGGTTAATGATAACAACCTATACTGAATTGAAGCTTTAGAATAGAAGATTTCAAATGTTTACGGGAGCAAGCTCCTAAAATGTAATAATGTCGGTAGCTATACTTGCGATAGTACACTTGATAGGTTTTTAACAGCTTTTATTGATTTATGCATTATTATTATATAATAAATAATGCTATTTAATAAAATAAAAGATTGGTAATCATATGGTTAAACGTACGGACACTGACTAGTTTTTAGGTGGCGGAACAAGCAAATTTTCACAGTTTATTTGAATGTAAACCTATTTTACTCGAAATATGTTTGAGATAGAAAAACACTCTTGAAATACAAAAGTTGTGGATAATTTAATTCTACACTACCGATCTTCCATAAGATTTAAGATCCAAGCATTGTAGCTTATAAGTTACAGACCAAAATATAATATCTTGCATACTCGAATTTCTTCTTAAATAGATTTAATCCCCTAAACCACCCTTGAATTTAGAACTTTGCAAAACCCCCAACTTTGTACATCTACATATACATGGATTGTCGTCCCAATCCAAAATTTTATTATTCTAGGTCTTATATATGTTTTGAGATACATTATAGTGATCATTTGTCAGTGATATGCCAATCAATAAAGGTAGGTCAATGGAAAGCATTTATCTACGTGGTGATCGGATGCATAGCAGCTTCAAAACGGATACGTCACAAAATTCGTGTTTGCCTATTAAATATATTGGGTATCTATATTTAATATATAGATACCCAATATGCCTATAAACATTCAAACTTATCCGGGTCAGTTTGCTGCACACAAAATCCAACAAAGTCTTTTAATAATATAGATACTTATAAGGTTAAGGAAACTCCAGAACCACTTGGGTGGAACCCAAAAGTCAGATCAGGATAAAAACTACTTAGTTTTCCTATTTAATGCCTGAAGAATCAGTACACCAAATTTCAACGTTCTAGCTAGTCTGGAAGTTGGATTAGTAATGAATAATTGAGTGAGGGCAATTACTTTTGAGTGAGGGCTTTTACTTTTATATGTTAAGATTATTAGCTAAATATAACACATATGAAAGGTACAAAATAAAATCCATAAGTTAAATACAGTAGTAGAATATATAAAAACGGAGCTCCAGACAGAGCTCCCTTTAAAATTTGAAATAGGGGTTGCTGCAGACTTTTAATTTTATCCATCAGCGAGATTACGCCCCTGAATTTAGTGTTACTCCCTCAATATGACAACACTGTTGGATAAATCTAGCTCAGTGGGATAAATGCAGGGATGCATCAGGCACTTGTAGAGCGAAATTTCCCACAATTTCCATGTAACCGTTTGACTGGTTTTCAGGTTATGTGACAAAATCCAAAACACAATTGAACATAGGATGCACAATAAATCGGATGTGTTTACTTTTGGGCTATTGACTTAATTATTACATCAAACAATTAAATGTATTCTGAACTTGTGTAATACTTGCGAAATAGAGCGTACTATAGCTAGCCGCCATACCCGTGCTTCGCTAAAGGAGCGCTAAAGAGAATAATTTATTGTTATGTTCCATAGATCTGTTGTATGAAAAGTTAAATAACTCATAAAATAAATGCCTAACATTTGCTTTTAAAGCATCAATCGAATTATTTTCAAAAACGTGTTTTATATCAACTAGACAGCTAGATGTTATCCACGGGCTTCACCCCGTTCCGTTTGACTTCATAAGTATTAATAACACTATTGATTGGATAAGTTAAGTTAACTATGATAATCATTTAGCGTTGATGGTTGAACTTACTAAACAACATCACAGATGCAATTTACGGACTTGAGAGGCCATCAATTCTGGACCTGCCCTTCAGATTTTTGTAAAG